CCTGCTGAGCCCAGCACCAACGGTTCTGGAACCCCTTTTCCACAAGTCTTTCCAATCACAAATCTCCCAATTCATTTCACAGCGGAGAGGGCTTCAGGGCAGCTGCAGCCAGACTCAGCAGGGGACAGCAGAGGCAGTGCAGGGAGGGTTCTCCACCTTGTACTTGCTCTCAGGCTTGCAGGGAACACCCAGGGACACCAGGCAAGGAAGAGAAACCTGCCTACTACTGCACCCTCCTAAGCCTGGCTGGAGCAGGGTAGAAACGGCTCTGGAGCCCTCCCTCCCCACCAGGACAACAGCACAAGGGGCAAGGGATGCAATGTGATGCTGAGCACAGGGTGGGGAAGGCATGGGGTGGCAAAGCATAGAATTCTTATCTGATTTGGGGACTGCTGTTGCCACAATATGGTCTGTCTGCCCAAAGACTGGGGGAAGCTGGGAGCAGGGGAGTGGCAGGGACCTTGGCAAGTAGCCCAACCTGGGCTATTGCCTAGGCATCCCTACCTGTTTTGGGTCTCTGGCTAACAAGCTCTGCCACAGCAAGTTAACCAGCTGTTTTCCTGATTGGAAGTTCTCAGTTTCCCCATTTATTACCACCTGTGGCAGCAGCGTCCAGGCCAGCCAACAGTTTGACCCAGTCTGCTCCAGCACTCCCAGCTCCAGCACTCTCTGGCTTCCCAAGTTCCTGACCCTGGTTTTGGCTTGTTTCTATACTCTGACCTTAAATGTCCCTGTGCATCTGCTTCTTGCCCCAGCCTCCTGTTCTCAGACTTTGTCCTCTGGACTGTCCCATTAATTTGGTAACTCAGCAGCTGATCCCCAGAGCCTGACCCTGGCAATTTGGCACCTGAATTCTGACCCAGCCCATGGCATCCTTTGGTGACCTATGCATTGGGCCAGACCACCTATAGCCTGAGATCCCTTAAAGAGTAGAGCTGCCACTGCAATGCCAGTCACTGCTCCTGCACCCCCTTCACAAAATCCTGCATCACATGGTCACAGAATACAGTAAGGGCTTTGAAGGCTCTAAACATGACTACTAATATAGAGCAAATGGGTTTGTTGAGTAGGAAGTTGCCATTTTTAGTCACTTTTCTGACTGCTACTCTTTAATGTAAGCAGACACTTGCACATTGAAAAACAATTTTGCTACCAAAATGTTAATTGCCACAAATATTTCCTCAATTTTTAATATGCAATATCCACTGTTGCAAATTCTCATGACTACCTTAAGTCTCATAGTAAGTGGTCATTTTACCACTCTACCTGTTGAAAGGAGCAGTATGGCATAATAAAAAATTAAGTGTCTAGTCTTAATGCTAGAGAACAGCTGGAGCATAAACAAAAAAGATTCAGAATTAAGCAAAACAAATAAGAAAAATCTAATTTTATTTTATTTTTTAGAAAAAATGTCTTGATTTTTAAGCAGGGGTGTAGGTTGTAGCCGTGTTGGTCTAAGGACATAGGCAGACAAGGTTTCTTGGGTGAATTTGATATCTTTTATTAGACCAACCCAAATAGTTGGAAAATAGTTATTAAGCAAGCTTTCGAGTTCAAAAACCCTTCGTCAGGCTAAGGAAGTTTCAGCAGTTGGTGTGTGCTCTTCCTGGATGGAATGAAAAGTAAAGAAGCCAGGGGCTGGGCTGGGGAGTCAGTTGCCAGGCAGATTATAATGTATCAAAAATCCAATGTCTGTTTAGTCCATGATCTCTAGTATCCAGGAGGTTGATGAAATGGAGCTCATAGGCTCGTCTCTGGGAAGTGTTGTGTAAGTTTCCCTTGAGGATCAGGACTGAGAGATTAGAGGGAGAGTGGCCCTCCTGTGAGAAATGTGCCCCCACCGGTAATTGGGTATTTCTGTCTTTGATAGATTTCCGGTGTGCGTTCATTCTGGTGCGCAGTTGTTGTTTGGTCTCTCCTACATATTTTCCATCAGGGCATTTGGTGCATTGGATGAGATATATTACATTTCTGGAGGTGCAGCTGTAAGATCCTGGGATGCTGATGGCTCTGTTGTGGGGTGTAGTAATTGGGGTAGTGGAGATGTGTTGGCAGGTTTTGCATTTCTTGTCATGGCATGGTCTGGATCTTTTCGGTGTGTT